AGGAAGCAAATAAAGACCGCATTCCGTCCCAATCCGCCGACCTGTAATGCCAAACACGGCGGCAACCTGCAGAACGCAACCGCGAGGGGAGCGTGAGTGGCACCACACTCCGGATCAGACAATGGTCCGAAGAGCCAAGAGGGGCATCAACGGAAACCTGATATCCGTCCGGGTGAGAGGTCAGCAGAAGGTCCAACAGGGAAGGTGTATGATCCTCAACATCTGGAATCCGCGTAGGCGAAGTAACCAGTTGTGTCAGACCATATGCCAAGGCAAAGTCATAAACAGATCTCCCCGCATGATCGGTTAAACGTGAACCGAGCCATTCGGCGTGGTGGGCGTTAAAATCGCCAAGGATCACGATCTCTGCGGATGGGATCTGTTGTAGCAAGGAATCTGTAGCCATTTGGACGTGGTCGATGAGTCGGTCTGTTTCGGCATTACCGCTATGGGACCTATAGAGGCACACGTAGACGCGCGGATGGTCGTCGCTGTCTACGCGTAGCCAAAGGATGGACAGGTCCGAACCTTCAAGACTGCCGAGGCGTCGAGAACAGATGTCCTCTCTGACATATACGCAAACTCCAGCTCGAGGCACAAAGGAGTGCTCCAATTTGTACCCCGGGTAGGAGAGATATGAAGTATCAGCCGGAGAGGACACCTGCGTCTCGGTCAGAAAGAGAGATGTTGCACAGTTGTTGCTCAGTTTGCCCCGAGCAGTTATTGTGTTGAGCGGAATTTCGCCCCCCCCCCCCCCCCCAGAATACGCGGGGCAGCCTGAGCACCCACGCTCAGGAGTGGAATAGCATGGTTGTGGATGCTCAGCGAGGGATTCTCCAGGGGTACTGGTACCCTCCTGGGGTAGTTTATGACGTAATTAAGTCATTGTGTGTCATTTACGGATAGAATTTACCAAGACTATTTATTGCGACAAAAGTAACAACGGCTTTATATCTTAGTGAATAGTTATCGTAGTGTGGTCTTCGCAATACAGGGTTGCCTACTGTGAAGACTACACTTCAATAAAACTAATAGCATACCTCTTTCCTGTGTAAACCGTAATGTTATTAACTTCCTTCTGCTTAGCATTGAAAGGAAGTTAATGGTTTTAGCTGGCAGTCTGTTAGTCTGTATGCCGACACGATAACTTCCGTTCCACTGGACCGATTGACTTTAAATTTGGTATGTGGATACCTTGAGGTTACTACCTCAACTCAAACCTACCTCAACCCAAATTCTTACTACCTCCTGTAGGTCAAAAGGCACCAGAGATATGGGATTCACGCAGAAGGAAGTTGTTTTTCTTGAATTTACATTCAACTCGTTTTGTACACGATAATGTAATAGCAATGGTTTGTATGTATTGTGTAATGCAAATAATTATTTCTTATTCTTATAATAAGGGTCGCCGGTTACATATACCATACGGAACACAGCATCTTTATTTATGCTGCTGTTTGACGCTGGTATTCTACGACAGTGTTTCTGGCTCTCTCATTTGACCTAAAGCGTGTTGCATGTTATAGATAATTCATTATTGCTGTGGAGTTTTGGCATAAGAGTAGAGTGTGAGTGTATTCGTCAGCCATTAATAATCGTCGGACATCATGAGTAGGTATTGTGTTACTGCATCACAGTTTTTTTTTTTAATTTTTACATAAGAATTAAATTCTATATACAAGCTTCGTTTGTTAAAAGTCTTCTTTTTTATGTTTTTAAATAAGGTTTCTCTGGCCGCTGAGAAACCTAAACTAATTGATATGTATATTCTTTGGAAGAAATGGTGAAAGAAATTCCACACCTTTGTCATTTTTGACTATCAAAAATACAGAAGTGTAATTGAAAAGGTCCAACAGACAGGGGGGTTCATAGAGGTTCTACCCCGAAACTAAAATCACACTACGTTGGGTTCGAAAACAACGAGGTGGACGTGACCCCCGTGAAGGAGTGTCATTGAACATTGATTTTCATCATTGCACCCTTGTATTTTACCCCATATCTTTATTTCTATAAAACATATGGTTACACAATTTTATTTATAAGAATCACACAAAAAGTCTTATTATTATGACACATTACATCGATATCACATAAAAACATAGGTATACACTTATTTTACAGAACACTTTCAAAGTTAGAAATCTTAAATAACTTTTCAAAATATATTTTCATCTAAAATAAGTATTTAATTTAGTATAAGATTTGTATTCGTATTGTATAGCTGGTTACTACGTATGTAACACATATGACTCTAAATTCATCTAAAAACTTTTATGGAATCAACTCTCGACCGGGGAATCGAACCCCGAACTTTCGTTCGACATTATATTGAATATATTTACTTTTAACATAAATTATCCCTTTATTCGAAGTGCCTTATACAATTTAATAGCAAATTCTTCAAAACATAAAATTGTTTAATTTTTGTGAAACGAAAAATGATAAATTATTTTTTAAGCGCGTCGCCAACAGTAATTTGGATTAAAAAAGAACTATAATAGTCCCATCGGAATCTAAATGCATGATCATGATAAAATAAAAAATGGACGTAAAAATTTGGAGCTCATCAATGCATAGAAAAACTCAAGCAGATCAGCTATCACAAGTAGCGTCTCCCTCTATCGCCTTTCTTGAAAGAAAACACTTGAGGCAATCTAAAAATAAAGTTTTGTCGAGTTTGTCGAATTTGCTCTACATTAGGACTTAAAATGTTTTATAGTGACTACATTGATTTTTTTAACTGCCTTAACCATTGAGTTATATGTACTACGTACTAGAGAAGCCATTCCAAACAAAAATTGTGTCCTACTCTATGTCTTCGCGCATGCACGGGAGTAGTAGTCGCGCATGCGCGAAGACTTTAATTTAATATAAAATAAGATATTAATATAAAAAACATATAAGGATTTAATATAAAATATCTTAATTTAATCTAAACAAACATATTTCTAAATAAAATGTAATAATAATTATTTTATGGAATTCACAAATCTTCAATTTACACAATATTTAGTTTGTATGGATTGCACTACAGTTCAGTTGAACATAGTCAATGTTCGGAATGGCTTCTCTAGTACGTAGTACATATAACTCAATGGCCTTAACCAACATTTATGAATTCGTTGGCATAGGAACTTAATAACGGTGACAAACGAGGACGCAGTTCATCTGATGATAGGAAGGTAGGAACATCTATACTCGATTAAGAACCAAAATGCAGACGTGCTGCCTCCCTTTGGACTAAGATGGTATGCACCGTTTCCAGTAAAAAGTGTCTCCAGTTCTCTACACTCACCATACTAAACACAGCAGCGTTAAACTGCTATTTTACGCTGGTATTCTGTGAGAGCGTGGTCCTTCCCCGGTCGAGCCGACCAGTTCGTGCTACAACCGCAATATAGTTGTAGCATGACTCTACCATGTATAAAATTAAATTATTTAAAATTATTAGCTTTGAAGCTTATAAATTCCCTATTATTTCTCACACAAACATAGACAGATCTTTATTGCCACTAACGAGGCTCTAATTATCTAATTTGTCTAAGATACGAGTATCTATCTTGCTGGGAAGTGCATACATTAAATTATTCGCATGGATGCCAAGCGACGTTGTCGCTCATGTACGCACTAATTGCTATGTCCTTACTGTTTCTGCTTGATGGAACTTGTAATATATGAAATGATGTATTATATCACTATATTCATGAATGACTTTTGTTATCCATCGTATTGAGCGGCGTAAGATGACTTTACCTATCGTTTAATACCATTTTTTTCGATCTATTCTATTACAGGCTATGAAAGTCCATTGCTGAACATAGGCCTCCCCCATAGATTGCCCCATAGGGGGGATTTTGCCATAGACGCTACGCTTGGCTTATTTTTTATACAGCGGGTTAGCCAAGCGTGGCAACTGTGGCAAATATCCCTACTATCTATGGGGAGGGGGGGGGGGGGGGGGTGTTGAAGTGAAAACTTCTTTAACATCATATAAATCTGTAGGAGAGAATGAGACAGAATCTATATATATACTAATATAATAAGGCGAAAGAGGTTTTTTGTTTGTTTAAACACGCTAATCTCTGGAACTACCAGTCCGATTTGATAAATTATTTTTGTATATAATAGCCAGATTCACGAGAAATAGTATAGGCTATCTATAGCATTAGGCTACACCTCTCAGCTAGCTTTAAATATTGATATTTATTAGGCAAGTCGGAAGAAAAAGCGGTCCTCAACCAGATATTGTAAAATTAAAATAATTCAACACGACTCGGCGCGCGAACGACGCGACGCCTAGCCACCCGATGAGAACCGAAAGAGAACAAGCGAGGTGCCATGTCGCGCGGCTCGGAGCGTGATTATACACTATACAATCTCCGAAACGGCTGGACCAATTTCGACGGGACTTTCACTGGCAGATAGCTGATGTTCTAAGGAGTAACTTAGGCTACTTATATCTGAGAAAAAGAATTTGGGTTCTGAGCAATATAAATAAATCCCTAAATTAAACGCGGGTGAATTCGCGGGAACAGCTAGTTCAGTATAAAGTGTTTCCTATTATCTTGACCTTATCTGTGTGCGGTGCTTTAAAAGTGACTAATATCACTTTAAAATGTTAAAAGCAAGAATTAAAAAATTTGTTTTATTAATTTATTATCAAAAAAATAAAATTAATTATATTGAAAAAAAAAATCATATCCAAACAATTCTTAACAATCCACGATTTCTATTTTAAGGACCACCATGAGACCCAATCAATTTTTGTTTCCTTGTTCAATAAAATGATTTTACTTAAAGTTTTCATTATATAGGTAGAATCATTTTATCGAACAAAAATTGATTGATTTAACTAGAGGTCACTATTACAGAGCAATTTTAGTCTAAATAAAATATTTTTTACATTTCTTTACTATAAAATTAAACTTTGAGTTTGCGGTCCGCTCCATGCCATTAGGCTACTGTCGTTTCGTAACACTGACTACAATACATATTTCTAGGTACAAAAACGCGCCAGCACCCCGAGAGGGCTTCCTGCTGCGCAAGCGGCTCTCCGACGCGTCGTCAGCGGCGACGCGCTGGGGCGGGCTCAACTCGAAGACCACTTCGCTCGGCAGCCTCGGCGCCAACAACGTCCAACCGCCGCCACCCCAGCTCTCGCCGCACACCACCAGCTTCGGGAGATGGTCGACTAGCCGCCTTAATTCTAATCAAGTTAGTAATTTATTGATCTTTCAGGTTTTACGCGACATCCGTAGAAGGAGGTTAATGTTTTTCGAGAGTATGTGTGTATGTATGTATGTCTGTTTCTTTGGCACGCTCTGAAGCCTAAATGGCTGATGATGAATTTTAACATGAGGTGTCGTTAGATTCGTCTTAATTGTGGTAGTGACAAGGGCTCTATAATATTTATATATTGCATCTGCAAATACAAAAAGGGAAGGGAAGGTTTTTTCTCAGGATTTTTTTAAAGCAGTTGAATTTTTTTAATTACTATTTTAACCATCAACCTTATTCACAAAATTTGTACACAGTTTTTGTAAACAATAACCTTCGCAGTATGGAATGGAAGTGAGAGTTTAACTCTTTCTCTCTCTCTCTCTCTCTCTCTCTCTCTCTCTCTCTCACTCACTTATGCTTCTTGTTTTATAAAATTGAATCCACAAAAGAACTTACAGCCCACCTGGTGGTACTTGTCTATTGTAGTTCTAGAACACCTGCAAACAACTTTAAAAAAAGAAGGCTCCAGATTCCATGTCACGTTTGCGAAATAAGAAGGAATACCTCACAGCTTGTAGTTATAATGGCTCTCTTTACCCTTCAGGAGCACAGCAGTGCATCACTTTTTACCTGCAGAAATAGGTAAGACGGTAATACCAACTCAGACGGTCTCCAGGCACAAAAGGAGTCCTACTATCTATTGACAGTTCTGATTCGTCTTCTGGATTAGTATCAATTCTTTTAAATATTGTATAATATTACATTATTCTGACATGCAGTAATTATTATTATTATTTTTAAACGTTACCACCCACACTAGGATTTTCTCCTGTATCGTGAAGGCAGTTTACAAACATAGATTGCTAAGGCACTGAAACTGTGCCACGGAGCCGTCAAAAAGTAATGTAAACATTAAAAAAAGTCTGTTGCACACACTTTACAGCTTATTAAGTCTTCCCCATAGATTGTCTCATAGAAGGGATATTTGCCATAGTTTTTTATTATGTGGAGTTGCTGTCAGAAAGATGCTGCTGCCCATCTTTTTTTTTTATAGGATAAGGGTGACAAACGAGCACACAGTCCACCTGATGGTAAGTGGTTGCTGCGGCCCATGGACATCTACATCTATCCTCGTTTGCGAATCAAAATGCAGATGCGTTGTCACCCGTGAGGACTAAGATGGAATGCCTCATTTCCAGTAAAAAGAGCCCCCGGCCACCTGCACTCACCAAGCGAAACGCAGAGGTAAACCTCTACTTCACGCTGGTATTCTGTGAGGTCGTGGTACCACCCCGGTTCGAGCCGGCCCATCCGTGCGACAGCAAAAGCTGCCGCGTGGCTTTACCACTTATTATTACCACTGTGTAATACTCTACTGTTTTAGCTTCCCTCTCTCGCCTCTTTCGACTATGAGAGATAATAAAGGGTCGTGGGTTATCTTACGTTGACTCTATGCTTAGTATTTATAGTGGTTTTTGAACACATCAATCATCGTCATCAAATAAATAAACAAATTAAAATATGCTAGGATGCATGCCTTGCAACTCCCAACCATTATTTGATTGGAAAACTTGTCGTTCCCAGACGTCCCCGTGTTCGTCAACCCGCAGTAGTATCCGGGGCGGTAGTCCGCTGTGCTCGCCGTCGACCCGCTCTTCCTTCAGCGCACGCCAACCCTACCTCGGCTGGCGAAGTCAGGAGCGACTAAATACAACGCCCAGGACGCCACATGAGAGGTAATAATTTTAAATTGTTATTTTTACACATGGACCACGTAATGCCGGGGTTCCCAAAGTGTGCGTCGTGATAGGGCGCGTTTCAGGAGCGGTGCCGTAGATAGAGTAGACAGGGTAGCCCATGTCCTCTCTCTCTACAGCACCGCTCCTGAAACTCTTTCAAGAATAGTCTTAAAAATCGCTTGTTCTGCTTTGGTGCAGTTAGAAATCTCAATCCCTTTGCCATATTCTATTTATGCGAAGCTATAATAAAGATTAAGTAAATATCACTAAAAAGTAAATGTGAAGCAAGAAATGAAAGTAGTAGTATCAAGTCTTATCCTGCATTTTGATAAAATTTGTGGAGATCAGCACGTATACACGATAACATAGTATGACACCAGACTATATTACTACACGATATATATGTGTATATATCGTGTGTTCACGTGTCATTTCACACATACATATTTTGATAAGGGTGCCGTGACTAGATACTATACTTCTGAGTTCTGAGTGCGCCGAGAACAGAAAAACTTTGGGAACCCCTGACATAATGACAAAATAGTATATTTCATTACGAGTGCGGAAAGCCTGTCATTGCAAAGAGTTCCGACAAATGTCTACCCGAGCCGAGGCGCAGCCGAAGGTGAGGAAGAAGAGGAAGGAAGAGGAAGGTGCTGAAAAACTATTTTAATACAGTTGCGAAAAAATGAAGCAATTTAATAAAATAATAAAAACACAATAAACTCAACTAACTAATCATTTATGTCTTATAAAAGTTATAATTCACGTATACATCGAAATTGGTACAGTTTTTTATGCTAACTGGGGAAGTTTTAGGTTGCATATTTACTGTTTGAGACAAACTATTATTAATTTCGTATGATTGTTCATGTATATTTGTCAAAGGTGGCGTTTGCTAGTTGATGGAATTGGATCTGATGAATTATCATTATCAACGAAGGTAGATGGACGAACGTTCTCCTCAGTATTGTCATGTGAAGGAGGCGGACTGGACTTTAAATTAATGGATTGTGTGATTGTTTTCCCAGTTTCTAGTTTGTTGTTTAATGAATCAGCAATATAGCCTTCTGCGACTTTGTCTGACTTCCAACCTCGTAGTCGCTTTAAGGACATCAAATTGGCCCCAGAATTTGCCAATAATGTAGCAGCGGTCCTCCTGAAGCTGTGCCCAGTATAATAGTCAGCATCCGGCAGACCAAGAAACGTAGCTATTTCTTTTGGCATATTACCAAATTTGTCTATCCCGATTGCTTGAGCTGTACACTTCCCTTTTTGATAATTTTGGGAAAAACGGTCGGTTTTTGCTTTTCGAGACCGCTGATTCATATATTTTTGCACTATTCTAAGAAAATCTCCTTCAACAACAAAGCTTCTCGGTATCTTATTTTTTGTATTCGGAATCTTGATTAGTAGCATTTTTCCATGGGCTTTAATATCTTTTAAAGTAATATTGGCTAACTCCTCTCTGCGGCAAGCTCCAACAACGCCAAAAATTAGCGCAACCTACAAAAAAATGGATTTGATTAATATTTTCTTAAATAATATATTGACTGTATTTTGCGATTTCGTAAGCTGAATCATCATCATCATTACAGCCCTTCACAAGTCCACTGCTGAACATAGGCCTCCCCCAAGGAATGCCACAAAGCACGGTCCTGAGCCACCTGCATCCATCGACTTCCTACATATCTTACCAGGTCGTCACTCCATCTAGTGGGGGGACGCCCTTCACTTCGTCCGCCGGTACGAGGCCGCCACTCGAGAACCTTTTTTCCCCATCGGTTGTCGGTTCTTCGAGCTATATGGCTGGTCCATTGCCTTTTCAGCTTACTAATCCGTTGGGCTATGTCGGTCACTCTGGTTCTACTGCGGATATCCTCATTTCTAAGTTTATCATGCAGAGAAACTCCGAGCATAGCCCTCTCCATAGCTCGCTGAGCCACCTTGAGCTTTCTCATACGGCCAGCAGTGAAGGAAAAAAAACTGAATACTAAAGAAAAATATAAGTATTTATTCATAAATTACTTTTGTGGCTAAATAACGATCATCGGGAGCTTCGTTCAAATACCTTTCCACTTTGTTCGATGTTAATATTTTCGACTTTTAAGTTGTAAAACCGTCTGATTGTCGTTTTAAGAAATCATTTAGTTTTGGGTATTCACTTATATCCACGTTGTTCCTTATTTTCAGCATACTTTTTATCATCGAAAACCTCGACCATAACGTAGAAGGTTTTAATTTTGCTGAGAGTTCGGAGAAGTATGCCAACATAACATATTCTGAAAAACTATTTGCTTTTTTCTCTTCTCTCCACGCAATAAATTCGTCGTATGTAGATATGTAGCGACTTTTTGACTTTTCCGGTAAAATGTTGTCCGAAGCATTTTGTGCAATTATACTGAGTTCCGGTGGGATTAATTCAAATAAAATATCGTCGAAATTACTCATTTTGTGCAACAAACAACTAAACTCGCAAAGAACATTTTTGGAAAATGGCGCCAACTGTAAAATAATATAAGCAGCGTAGAGGGAGTATGTAGTTCATTCTCTCTCTACGATAAGCAGAGATTTTTTTTGTTTTCTTCACCCATTCTGGGTAGGCAAAGGGAACTATGCCCATACAGCCAAGTCTTCAGTAGATTTTTTTTAGTAAAAACTTCGTGGTTGGTTTTTTCTTTTTAATAGACATTATTTTGACAGTTGGGAAACAAACTCACGAGTTCGGAAAAGGTAAAGAAAAAGCTCGAGTATGTAATAGCCCACATCCCGAACGCTATACGTCCCTGCAATACGCCACTTTTTGAGTAACTGTATTAAAAACAACTTATTTCACTCTTAACATGGGTTAGCAGCAACGTTTTCTTGGTCATCAGCTAGTTCTATGTAGAGCAGTTATGTGGCACAGTAGCTAGTGTTTGCGGCGCTGCTAGACACAGGCTTATATTATTGTATATTGTCTGCATTTTTGGCTATTTGCAAATCCTAAAGGTTACTCTCTTTTGAAAATATATGAAAGAAAACTACGGCAACATTACAACAACACTGTTTTACGGACAATATTTTTGCTTTAAAAAAAACATTTAACAGTTGCACATTGCTTTATTTTAATACCCAGGTATAGGTTTCTGCAAATATATTGTGAATCCTTACCGTTACAGCCTGTTAAAAGTCCACTGCTGCACATAGGCCTGCCCTATAAATTGCCTCATAGGAGGGATATTTCCCATAGTTGACACGCTCAGCAAGCTTATTGCCAACTGCAGTTTTTTATGTTATAGTTGTTATTGCGAAGACACTGCTGCCCAACTTGTCTGTTGTTTCCCTCTGAGTCAAATACAAAAACGTTGTCACCCCCTGAGGACAAAAAGAACCTCCGGTTCTCTACACTCTCACCATACGTAATAAAAAGCATTAAGCAGCTATTTCACGCTAGTATTATGTCCTTCTTCCGTACTACAACCATAATCTCTATATTATTGGTTCATAGCTCTACGATGTTTAAATAAAAAGAAAAACGTAACCGAGTCAAGTTTCCCGTACTAAATTGTGTAGCGAACTAAACTAAATAAGCTTAAGCATAAGGTTTAGTTTACAAACTGCTGAATTGATAAAATCTACCTCTAAACAAATCTTACTTCTTATACCTACTGTAAAAGTTAAACGAGCGGGAAATATATAAACCAAAGAACTACAGCAATACAAAAATAAACAGTCATCATTTCGAAAATGATATGATGAATGATTTCGATAATGAAAATGATACTAACACCATTAACACGATTTTAACTCTAACTCCAACATTGCTTTGACCTCCATGCCGCTCAACAACTTCTCTATCTGCGAAAAAGACAGTAGTTAAACAATCGAAGAATCGATTTTGATACGTGGTAGAGCCATGCTCCAGCTATATTTCTGGTATAGTTGTAACACGAATGGTTCGGCTCGACCGGGGAAGGACCACGCTCTCACAGAATACCAGCGTAAAATAGCAGCTTAATGCTGCTGTATTTCGTATGGTGAGTGTAGAGAACCGGAGACCCTTTTTACTGGAAATGAGGCATTCCATCTTAGTCCTAAGGGTGACAATGCATCTGCATTTTGATTCGTAATCGAGGATAAATGTAGATGTCTATGGGCCACAGCAAGCACTTACCATAAGGTGGACTGTGTGCTCGTTTGTCACCCTTATCTTATAAAAAAAAATTATCATATATGACTCACAGGACAGTGAAATGGTTAAATTAACATGGGATTACCCAAAGATTTACACATATCATGTGAAAGATTTACACATTTCACATCATGCAAAACTTATCTTCAAATGTACTTAACGGTGGATCCTTGACAGCTCTTTTTAATCAAAAAGCAAACTTCTTAACACCTTAATAGTTCGATTTAAAACATCACTCTTAAATCTTGATTTTACCGATAACTGAACGTTCATGTCCGGTGTTCCAGGCTAGCTTCATCCCTACTTCAGCAGTCCACAGAATCAGCCAAAGCAGCAGAAGAAATCCAATCGTCTATCAAGGAAGTGACGTCCGCCATTGTACACTACGTGTCTGGTCTAGAACCAGCCAATGGCGACGTTGATCGTCAACCGTCGCCCAGATCGAGCCAGAAGCTGTATTGGCTAGAGAGTTCATTTGTAGGTGAGTGTTTAATTTTCAGCCGAATTCTATTGTGCGAACATAAACAACCATATTTTAAATGTTTGTCTGTTTGTCTGTCTGACTGGTCAATCAGACAGACAAACAAACAGGCTTATCTTCAGAATGGCTGAACTGATTTTAATGAAACTTTGCGAACAGATAGAGAGCAAATCCAGGAAAGATCTCGGCTATATTTTATTCGAAAATTAATTGAAAATTATTGAAAAGTAAAAGGTTTTTTTTTCTGTCTCAAATCTAAAAATGTTGCATTATCAGATAACAAATAATTTGTAATGTTTTATTAAATAATGTTACAGGCACGAAACCTCTAGATTCACCACAGACGCCACTAGTGGTCACGGAATCGCTCCCGCCACCTCATCCGAGGCCTCCATCTTCCCTCCGCCTCGAGCACCGAGCCGCGCCCGGTGAGCGAGCGTGACCACAACAACACATACACTGCAGGTTTCGATCTATAACCATGCGACTACATTCCGGCATAAAGCAGCAATGGTCTTCGAATCAACGATCTATTAATGTGTAGGACATCATATTGGGCGAGATAAAGTTGCGCGCCATTTTAAAAAAAGATCATTAAATTGTTAGACTGATGTTTACTAATATGCAAACAACTTAATAAGATATATTACATAAATATAAAAAGCGGTAGGCGAAATCAATGCATTTATCTTTGTAAATCCAAACCTGCAGTGTTATATTTTTCTTGTTGACTTTGTGTTATGTTAAAACTTTTGTGAGTAATTTTTGTGCTGTTTGCCTTTTTTAGTTGTTACGAAATTGAACGAGCTGCAAAATTTTATTTGTGTAATTGAGCTTTATAGACTGTGTTTAAGACTCAGGACCATTTTCATATAACTTATTTTACTTTTGTGACGTTTTGCACTTTATCAACTCCCAAATGCAATTCAAATCGAACAAATATTATTTTCACATTGTTATAAGACACAGCACTGGCTTGTAGTGGCTTTAAATTTGTGTTATGTGGCTTAATTGTTATACACGATTATTTTTTGGCACTCGTGCATATGATAGTATTTTCATGACCAACGTATGAATGTTGCTAGTACAATTACCGTGACATTAATTATAAAACCCGCCAAACGATTTATTATTTTAAATTAAGAAATATAGATTAAATAGATAAATGCAATGTTACGTTTTGATTTTATTAAAATAATATTTGGTGTATAAAAACTAAAATGTTGTACACTATCATTCAAACATATCAAATTTGATAATGCCAAATTATTCAAAATTGAGAAATATAAGAGACTAATCAAAAGTTATAATAAACATCTAACTTAGATAATGATTGTATTGCCATAAATAAACTTGCAATAATTCTACGCTTGCAATACATAGAGTAATCTATGCTAGTAATACATAGAGCAATCTATGCTTGCAATAGTAATCAGACAGAAACCAGTAATATATCTAGGTTTAGTAAATAGTTTTTAATCAGTTATTAAATGTACAGCGTAAATTATTTTGTTTGTGTGTTTATTTTAAATGCAAATCTGTAGCATTTAGTTTGTATGCTAGTTAATAATACATAGGTTTGTAAATAATTTATAAAGTTGCTATATTTTATTTTAGGTGCTAATTATTCTGTTACCTACTTATATGATTTTAAAATAATTTTCAATCTATTTACCATTATATTTCAGTTATTAGTTAGATCTTAATAATTGTCACAAACCGGTTAATTTGACAAATGCCTCAAATATTATATAAAATTAAGGCAACAGTTATCAGAACCATAGACACAAGTGGTGGTAAGAAGTGACATTCAAACTGAAGACTTAAAGTAATAAGTTCCTTCTACTTAAATCACCTCGTAATTTATGTTGGGTCGTTGTTGGTACCCTAAGTAAATTATACAGGTTCTGATTAGGTTAGAAATTATTGATTAGCGCTCAAAATTCGCATCGCCGAATAAATAATCCGAAATTAACGCGTCGAATTTGTTTAACGATATAGTCTTTCGCTGATATCTTTCCGTTTTTATTGTGCTTGACAATAACGTATGATAAAGAGACCATAGCCTCATATTTAAACAACACAAATTTAGTTGAAGTTGTGAAGGTCTCTTACACATTACTAGCAAGGAATATACTACTCTGAGATTATTAGAAAGGCATCTTATTAAAACAAATAACTGTTCCTTGTAATTATTTATCTGTAGCTCTCTAATTTAACCTTTAGCGACGCGCACACATAGTTGACTGTTGTTTGAATAGTACCTAAAATGTAATTTTATACATAGAGATAGCATTATATTTAGAGAATCTCGGTACCTTCATATGTAATTAGATAATGTGAATGTTGTTTTTATTGAAACATTAAAAGTGTCAATCATTCTATCATTTGAATTAATGTACTTTAGTTACATTTTAATTATAACAATTATTGAATATATTCAGTTTATTTCATATTTTTTGTTTTATTTTTATTTATGTGGTGTCATATTTTTATGCTTTTCACAACTAAGTTAGTTAATGCAATTTTTAATATTAATAAATGATATAATCATTATCCAAAAAGTTTAAAAGGCACGCCTATAATACCTATATTTTCGTTCGCAAAGCATTAGTACATGTAACTGGAGAGATCAACAGTTATGGTAAGTGAAATCAAACATTTAGTTTTGTAGTCTAATGTATGAGCTATTTTTACCGGATGAAGCAAGGTTTAGCAACTTTTTTAAAAACAAAAATTATAAATATTGAATACTCATACTCCTACCCTACTTAAAGTACAAATAATAAAATTAGATATGTACTTCAATTTCTGTTTAAATTATTATATACACGTATAGGGGCAAGTGGGGTAGATTGATGCAAAAAAATTTAAAATCACTTATAAATGCTTAAATACGTTAAAATTTATATTTGTTATGTTTTCTGCATTGCTACATCTATAAATATAATAAAAGTAATAAAAAGAAAATGTCTAATTAATGTATAAAAAATATAAAGCTTTTAGTAAAAAAAGAGATTTGTATCATTGTGCCCCACCTACGGGGCACTTAGATACACTACATGGGACACTTTGATACAAAATAAAAGTTGTATGGAAATATTATTAATTTGAAAGACTGGCATGCTAATAATACTTTTATTATTCAGAGATCACAATCAGTCTTACAGTTTTATGAATAAAACCATTTCTTATTCTAACACATAATTTTAACCATATATCCTCTTTCTATAATTAAACACAAAAACTTTTAGTTTTCTTTTGATATAAATCCTGTTTGATAAACCAAAATAATTTGTTGCAGTTACTATTCCGCAAAATACAACTAGCTCTCCCCTTTCAGCGGACACCATTTGTCCTACTTGCCTCTGTGTCTTTTCAACCAGAACTTTAGTTGTAGATAAAACAGTAGTGACTCCAGTTTTGTCAAGGTTGATGATACGATCAGGAGCAAATTTATACCGTAGCATTACACGCTTATAATTGTCAAAGAAATCATTCACTGCTGTTCTATTAAATGCGAAACTTCGTTCTGAGGCTAAGCTCCTGGTTCCTCGTTCTAAATCTTTTTGACCAGTCTTTCCCAGCACATTTTTCTTCCTCCATGATTCTGGATATTTTCAACCTGGGATTCGGCAAATTCATAGGCCCAAAACCAAAAGTTGCTGTAAGGACAACCCGCAGTGCATTTTGCTACAGTTCAACAAATATTCTGTAAGCATCTTCTCTTCTTGTTTTGAGAATACTTGTGCAACAGTGTCTTTAGAGCTGTATGATTTAGACGATGATGCTTGATTATCTTCAAAAGATTCTCGAAATTTCTCGATACGATGTTGCAGTGTTGTAGCTTTTGCTATACTTATTAGCTGCTACTCGTATAGATAATTTCATCGATATAACGTCGGATATGGCAGCCTTCATATTTTCTTCGTTTATATTGCATCCTTCAGTCTTTGGTTAATAGGTTCGCACCATTTTCTGAAAAAAAAAGAATCGCTAAATTAATAAATAGTAATAAAATTTTAAATTAGGGCATAATGATATGCATCAAAGTGCCCCAGACCTTACCGTATCATTGTGCCCCAACAGAATTTTTTGTAAAATGTTAACATCATGTTTATTTATGTTGATTTATTGAGCTAAAAGCATTAAACTCCTATTTATGGATAGAATAATTCATCTTTAGTATGTATAAACACTTCGAAGAAATTGTAGAAAGAGAATGAATCTCTTTTATATTCCACGTGATTTTTTAGTTGGGCGAACACAAAACACAAACTATCTCGCCTAACGCCATCGGCTAACTGAATTTCCTGGTATAATAGTGTATTATCTATGAACTGAATGACAGCGCGGCCACAAGTGCTGCGCTAAGGCAGGCATATACAAGTCATAGTGTTGTCACGACTCGATTACATTTAACCGATTATGATATATGTTAGATGAATTAATTTGCCCCTTGCATCAATCTGCCCCGCCTCCTCCTACTGATTTATTTTTCTACGGTATTATCACAATTAGGGGGCATTAAGGCAAGCATACTCACCTAACTTTTTATAAAATTATTTCATATGTTTACGAGATAGAACTTAGGATACATAAAAAATATAGGAAACCTCAGAAAAGACATACAATTTTAAACCCCGCTTATTCGCAATGTTTTACACGTGTTCATCATCACCATGCCTACAACAAACTGCTGTTTAACCTTCTGCCATCAAGCGCCACTTAGCGTTATCATGGTCACATCTATCTTCGATGTTTAACACATTGGAGATAGATGTGACCACCACCTGTGGTCGTTAGTGTGCACACGCGGTCTGTTATTGCAGGTGTCTGACATAACTTCCTTATTTCCGCCGCAGCACAGGGGGTATTCATGAGGATTTTCCCCAATAATGCGGTACAAACTCTTTGGAATTTTAAAAAGTGAATACTGGCTGGTAAAACATAAATAAAAAAACAAACTGATCATCTTTTGTTTAAAAAAATAGAAGTCATTTGTTTAATGTTTGTAGTTTTTTTATTATAGCGTGTTGGCAAAAATAGGAAAAAAATTGAATACCCAAACAACGTGACTTCATTTTGATATCAACGAAGTTATTGAATAGGCTTGTTTATCGTTTTTAGCTCTATTTATAACAATCGTCAAAACGTAGCTTGACTTACGATTCCGAAACAAAATTACAGTTTATGATTTGGAAAAGACCATCATCTCAATTCTCCAACTAAAACATTGATGGCGTGTCCTTCCACCGGTATGTTCGTGGGCTTAATTTTCTGGGATAGTCGAGTAGTAGTGATGATTAAATATCTCAATTATGGAGCTACTACTAGGTCGTGCACTTAGTAAAAGTACGCAACAAAATCCGCTAGAACCAGAGAGGGAAACTAGCAAAGTTCTTACTGAAAGATTGTTTTACCTATTTGCACTAAGATAACACCCGAGCTCAAGACCGCGGTTATGAAGGCTGCAATTCGAGATGCTGGTTTTGGGAGACTTGCACAACCTCCATATTCACCAGAACTTACATCTAGTGATTTCTGTCTATTTCCGGGATTGAAGGAATATCTGAATTATAGAATCCCAGGAAGGAAATTTTAAATTTAGAAAAAAAACATTCGAATGTATTACAGTAAAAGGTGACTATTTCGTAAAGCTAAATATCATAGTAAATAATGACTAATTTTACATAGATATAATAAATTGTTTGTGTATTCTTTCTCTGGCAATCAAAATATTTCCAAAACAAGTGGTAAAATTAAAAAATTTGTAGAACCGACTTCAATATAAGTAAATAAAATGAGAACATCATCAATGTCGAAGTCAATTGAATACGCATTATTAGGGATAACTCAAAAACTACTGGTCAGATCTTGATAATATATATACATTTATAATTAATATATAAACCACATGAGATGCACCTGCTTTCAAATGAAAAAAGATTCATCATATTAGGTTCACCCACGAAAAAGTTCTGAGGTAACGCACTTAAAAAATAGAGTCGAATTGAGATCTTCCTTATTTTTTGAAGTCTGTTGAAAAGGGCATGCGTAAAGAGTTTATTGCGCTAATAATTTATAAGTATTAAACAACTTAAAAATAATAAACTACAATTCACGTAAAAATAAAATGAATATGATGTGGCCTAACAGCACCTCCCGCCCTCCCTCAATTGGGAGCACTATAACAGAATAGTGGACTCTCATCTCAAGTCTTACTTTCTAATCCGCGTCACACACAAAAATTTGTCTATTTGATTAAGTTACTTCTGGAACAGTTTCAGCATTCAGCAGCAAATGAAAATCACAATATGAGTACCTACCTACTAACAAACGACCATAAACAAAGAATAAACAAATTGTGTAAACTAACACGCAAGGGATAATACAAGAAAACATAACCATAAAATTTCCATTCTTAACATAATATATTTGTTTAAATTTTAACGCATTTTTTTATTTCTGAATTTTTATTTTACCTCTCTTCAAAAATTCTTCCAATGCAGAATTAAATATGAGTATTAGGTGCGAGGTGATTCAGCCTACTCATACTATCAAGGTCCCATTTGGTAAGTAATAATACATAGAATTATCTATGTAATAATAATTGTAAGTTGAACCCGCGCGTACAAAGTTTCCTAATAACTAATAGCGTGACCACATCGAAGTCGTGGTCTAAGTGTTTACGATAATAGAAAACTATAGAAACAAAAATGATCTTGGCATAATATTTCAACGTTAGCCACGTGACTCATTTATATAGTTTTCTATTAGCGTAACGCTTGTAGAAAGTCTACTTGGTTAACTTTGTTGAGTAGAAAAGCGCGGGACGCTATCGTGACAGTGAGAGAGGTCTCTTGCAATTAGTAATCTTGGTTTATTATATAAGAAAAAAATGCGATCAGGTATTTATTATGGGATTACGCGTCGCATAAATTAGTTTGTATGTACCACATTACTTAGTGGACATTACAAGTATTACGCCGTGAAAAACAGGTGCAAATCCCAGCTTGAGCTTGTACCTATGTGTTGTAATTATCTTCGTGCTTCTGCAACTATTTCCAACCTTAGCTCCGTCAAACGACACGTTAAATACAAATTGACCTCTGAATAATTGCCTAATCCACTTCTGTTTATAATTTGTGCACTCGATTGTCTTTGTATTTAGTGTAGTCTCGAAATTTAACTACATAAATCTGAAAATCTATTAAATCAAAAACGGTACACAGACAAAACACCAATAACTAATCCCAAATTAAAATTGTATTCCACTCGCAAAACAAAAAAAAACCTTACCTCCGACCTTGTAACAAAAAAATTTGCTAAACCGATACTATGTACAGAGCAGTTCTTTCCACGGGTAAGGTCGATCGGAAAATCATCACCTTAAGTGCATATATTTGTAACCTACATAACTTGCACTGTACTTAAAATATAATTAACAAAAACCAAATAAAACATCGTTACAAAAGAGACAATTTATTTTTAGATGGAGAATGGGCCTACCACAAATTGTAACGAAACTCAATGAATTGCATGTCGATTTATTTCTTTTAATCTATAGATTACAATAGTAATAATAGTTTTACCCGATCCAACGGGAATACTGAGAAATTAACAATTAAAATATGAATCTGAGAATAAACCAAAAACAAACTAAAAGCGATTGTCTAGTAATTTTCACCGGTTTTATAATTTAAAATAGTTTACTGTTCAATGATTAACAGTATAAAATAAAGTTATAGGTACATTCAGCATTTATAAGTACTTTAAGATCGATAGAAAATAAATTTAGTAGTTTTTTTTTATAGGATAAGGGTGACAAACGAGCACACAGTCCACCTGATGGTAAGTGGTTGCTGCGGCCCATAGACATCTACATCTATCCTCTATTACAAATCAAAATGCAGATGCGTTTTTACCCGTGAGAACTAGGCTGGAATGCCTCATTTCCAGTAAAAAGGGCCTCCGGCCACCTGCACTCACCAAGTGAAACGCAGAGGTAAACCTCTACTTCACGCTGGTATTCTGTGAAGTCGTGGTACCACCCCGGTTCGACCCGCCCCATCCGTGCGACAGCAAAAGCTGCCGCGTGGCTCTACCACTGTTAATGTTCCAACAAAATATAGTGCACAGACAGACAAATGTGGTATGGCGACTATTTCTTAAATGTAGGTATTGATTGTATGTGAATATATATCCCAAACACCATTAAAGTACTTAAAGAAATATAAAAAAATATTTTCTAAATGGTATTTAGATTTTTCTAGCATAGAACAAACGATTTTTCTTGCGATTATAGAAAAGCTTTTTTTATAGAATAAGAGAGGCAAACGAACACCTGATGATAAGTGGATGCTGAGGCCCATAGATATCTACACCTATCCGTGATTGAGAATCAAAATGCATTAAGATGCTGCTACTATTTTACGCTGATATTCTGTGAGAGCGAGGTCCACTCCCGGTCGAGCCGACTCATTCGTGCTACAAACATGATATAACTACAACGTGGCTCTACCATGTAAAACTAATTTTGGACCTGGAATTTTGTTCTAAAACAAATTGCAATAATAAATAAATGTACAGTATCACAAATTATGCGAAAACAGACGTTATTTTCTTTCAGGTTTGATGATCGTCTTGTGAAAGTCCTTTGTAGCTTAATATACTTTTGTATTGTACTTTTGTACGTAGTTGTAGCACGAACGGTTCGGCTCGACCGGGGAAGGACCACGCACTCAGTACCAGCGTCAAATAGCAGCTTAACGCTGCTGTGTTTCGTATGGTGAACCGGAGACCCTTTTTACTGGAAAAGAGGCATTCCATCTTAGTCCTCACGGGTGACAACGCATCTGCATTTTGATTCGCAAACGAGAATAAATTTAGATGTAGTCTATGGGCCACAGCAACCACTTACCATCAGGTGGACTGTGTGCTCTTTTGTCACCCTATCCTATAAAAAAATGTGGAAATCGCTTGCCGATGAAAATCACTACGTAACTGCGTTACGTTTTTCTTTTTTTAAGATAGCATTTTATAACGCGAAACACGAAAATAAGTTATTAAGGCAAGGATTTCCGACGTCAAGTCTTTTAACGCTCCCTTCTCCCCTGCATGCATATTTGTGCAGCACGAAGTAAGCATACGACATTCGGTGGACAAAATATTACTTGATTTAAAAGGTTTTAGCTTATTATCAGGAAAAAAAGGATCCATATAATAACTTAGCCCATTAGGAATCTAATTTCATAACATTCCTTCATAGTATCGAAAAAATGTGATATTACGCTTTTAAAAAACAAAAATTAGGATCGTCGAAGATTTTTCCCGGCGATTTAATCATAATTTTCTTATCTCGATAAATATTTTAAGTTGTAGCACGAAACGGCTCGACCGGGGAGGACTACGCTCTCACAGAATATCAGCGTAAAATAGCAGATAAAAGCTGCTGTGTTTTGTATGGTGAGTGTAGAGAACCGGAGACCCTTTTTATTGGAAACTAGGCATTTCATCTTAATCTTTGCGGGTGACAACGCATCCGCATTTTGACTCATAATCCATGATAGATGTAGATGTCTATGGGTCACAGCAACCACCTACTGTCAGCTGGACTGTGTGCTCGTTTGTCACCCCTATACTATAAAAAAAATCAACTATTTTAAAAATCCATTCCATTAAGAATTTAATTGAGTAGGTTCATGTTTGCGCAATCCGCATTTTTTTCTGAACTTATATACTCGTTTAAGTATATCAGTTCTCGCGCGTCAAAATCGTGTCTAAATTTTGTGCAATCTGGCCTTAATATAAAAATATATCGGTATGAAACACTTACCAATACATTTAATCAATACAAAGAATCCAACGATGACTCAAAAAAGTTATCCAATTGCACTGCTGGCCTACCCTCCGATATTACCGCATTAGTGCCATAGAGACACCAGTTAATATACGAGAAGTGCATCTATGGCTCTATATATAGATAGATACATGATACATATTTTCTCTATCTAGTTGATAGTTTCCGATTGTTGGATTAAAATTATTATTCGATTAAAGACATAATAAGTTAAGAACCTATTTCCAGACTGGCAAGAATCCCAACGCCCATTGAACTTTGAACCGACAAGGCCATCGCCCGGTTCCACAACTTTGGAAGACGTACTGGATTCCTTATTGGGCTTACCTTCGCAACCTACGAGATTATCAACACCGCAGCCTAGTCCTAGGAAGAGTCCTTATTATTTTATGGGAGGGAAGGTAAATCACAATACATAATAAATCCTTTACCTCATTCATTTATACCAAACCCAAAAAACATATTCCTTTTAATAAGATCAAGCTAATTAAAAAGTACAGTATCATACGCAGCACAAATATCTTTAAAGCTTACATATATATTCATAGTTTTAACCGCTCCTTGTTAAGTAAAGCTCGATTAGTTGAAATTTCGTAGAGTAATGCTTTTTCTCAGAGCCCCCGCTACGAACTGCTGGCTAGTAGTGGACATAGCAGCGCATCACCAGCGTCCCGGTACTTCTACACTCCTAGTGAGGAGCCAAGCTCCCTCACCGATCCTAGCCCTGATCACGATCGACAAGGTAGGATTGATATGTAAGTGTGAGCCGTTCCAATTTTTACATTTATCTTACCCTCACGCTTGTAACTTCGTTATTCTCTCCTACTCTATCTCTGCAAATTTAATTAAAAAACTGGCAACAAAATTACGATTATAAAGTTTATTTACAAAATAATAATTATATTTATTTACACGTGTGCATGTTCCCAGATTAGAAGTTGTATGGATCCCCCGTTTCCCAAAGCATGACCGTCTTGTCATATCAATTTATTTGTTTAATGGTCCTGAGTCTTTCGGTGTCCATGAAAAATAATTCTTTTGTCACAGTGATAATGGAACTTTGCTTACAGGCAAGGAAACAGTTGATAATTCAACCAAAATGCAAGAATCAAAACGTCCGCGGTCAGCCCAAGGCGATCACTCGCGACGGAAGAGTGAACCCTTCGCTCAACACAGCGCTTCCGTAGACCGCCGAACTAGTCTCGACGCCACAACTTTACGCTCCACAGAACCCCGTATGACCCATCATGATTCCCGTGCCTCCCTCCTCTCCTTGCAAACAGAAAACAGCACTGACGACGCATTTGTCAAATGCAAATACCCTAAATGCTCCTCACGTGCTCCAGTAGCGGATGCCAAACGACATTATAAATCATGCCATAATTGTACAACCATGTACTGTTCGAAAGAATGTCGAAGAGCGCATTGGGAAAAACACCGAAAGGTCTGCTTGCACTCACGAGCGAGCGCACTTTGTAGGCAAATCATATCGGCAGCTAAAGAAGACGCAGATTCCTTACACCAAATCAGCACCATCGCCCATAAAGGATATTTGGCTCAAGGTCGGGGTGTAGTAAAAGTGTTCTTCACTAGTCCAGAAGCTGCAGAGAAGTTTACGACACACGGCTATCAATATCTAAGTGAACCGGAATATGTGAAATGGATCTCATTGCAACCAAATGAAATGGGTGTTGAGTTGTACACGGAGGTAGTGAAGCTTTGTAAATCCTATAACCCCGAAACAAGAGTAATTCTTTATGTTGCTGTGTGTATTATAAGTGAAGTTCCAACAAAAGGAGCTGTGAAATGGGAACGACAGATGGTATCGAGGTGTGCGAAATTACGTCTCAGTAAAACTGTAACCGCGACCATACAAGAACAGAATCGAAAACGCAATCGAAGAGACAGCAGAGGAACACCAGACGACCGCGAAACGCTCATACTGACGTCAAAACTAACCAACGCTGGCGAAAAGAATGCTGCTACAGCACATAAATTTAGAGAAATATGCTTTAAAAACATAGTCCGTGAATTAGAAAACCGAGGAGTTGTGTTAAAAAAGCATTTTCCGGAAGTTTATTCGCGTCTAGGGGCGTATGTTGATGGAACAAGTGATAGGTTCATTCCAATGACTATCTATCCTAGGGACGTGGCAAGTGGGAAATCTTTCGTGTGTGTGATTATGCCAGACAGTGAAGTGGACAGTGGTACACCTGTCGATGGTAAGGTTGTGACTGTGGATGTTGGTTTGGACCGGTCTCGGCATCAGTTATCAACTCCAATGTAAAGCTTGAAAAACCTTAGATTAGAGATTGATTGCTAACAACTGCTTTAGTGTGATGTGTATGATAAAAAATTGTCATTGTTTGTTAAATAAGAAAAATGTACTTAACATTAAAATGAATTATTACATTGCTGATGATTGCTATTTGGCGATAGTGTTATCGTTTCAGATTCTTATAATTCCATGTCTATACATTTATCGCTTTAACATTTATACTGCTGAATCTTTGATAATGAATCTCCTTTATCATTGAATGTGCTTGTGATTTTTGACTAAGATTTCATAGTCTATGTATGAATTCTACAGAGTAATGTTGGTAATATTCATTCCAATTTATAATTTAACTTTATATGATAGTTTAAAATATTTTTTGAGTCTGTTATGAATCGTAATTAATTGTTTTAGTAATTTTATGAAGTTTTAAGCATTTTATTTAATTAAACTTCAAAACCTAACACGATAAATCATTGGTTTAAATGGCATGGTTGAAATGTATTTATGTACCTTTTAAAATTGTAGCTGAAGCTAAAAAAAAAGTATGAAATGTATTTATGTACCTTTTAAAATCGTAACTGAAGCTAAGAAAAGTACTTATCTAATTCTTTTCTAACCTAGGTATTGTATACTAAAAAAGACCTTAACATAATTTAGATAATTATACAAAGTTGTGATTTTGGATATAGGATAAAAATCATGGAGATTGAAAATTCTTAGCGAGTGTTATTATGATACATCTTAATGTCTTAGACTGGCAATCACTTTCAAATTAATTTATTATGGTTCTTGTTATTTTTACCGTTGCCTTAGTTAAAGTGAAATAATATGGTCGTTAATAGAGTAAAATTATATTATATTAAATATGAAATCTTAGTAATGCTTAGTTATATTTATATTTTTATTAGAGAAGTTTTTAATGTTTAAGCCAATGAAATATTATTATTTATTTGCAATTGCGAAATCTTGTCACATAATTCTAATGGGTTAAATCTAAATGAAAGACGATTTTAGACGTGTTGTGAAGGGGCAGTATTTTAAATAAATTTTTAATAATGACAGAGAAATATGCTCAAAGGACGGAAAAAACCATCATTCAAATATTTTGTTTCTGTTCCAAAAAAAAATTACAATTTTCTGTTAAAGGTTTTTGTGCAAATTCCATTATACTCGTACTTATCCGTTAACTTTCTGACTCACCAGAAAGTTAACGGACCTTTTCTCGAAAAATATAAAAATTGATCAATCGATCGATTCGACAGACCTTTGAGTAAATTTCTCTATTTTTCCTCATTGTGCTCCATACCAACCAACAGGGCTCCCTCCAAAAGGCATTTTGTTGACGTGACATTCCAAGGTATATGTTAATATCTAAGGTATATATATTACATAAGTATTATATTATTTTTTATATTGCAGCCATGGTTCATATCCAGTGAGCGTCAATGAGCTCAATCATTCAATTTAGCCAAGTTTTTTTTAAATATTATGGCACAAAATTCTGTATTTTTATAACTTTACTAAAACTACGACAAAAGGTGCCAATTTATTATTGATTAAATAAAGTAGGATCAATTTAAGGCATTCATAAATTATCTTTAAAAAGATTTAAAACAACGGATAAAAAATGTAAAATTTTGCCCATATACAGTCAGTACCTATATCGTTACTATTCGTTGTTTGCTTAGTGATTTAAGGTTTTTGATGTCTCTATCGACTATATGAAAAACATTACGGATAGTTTAACTTTCTTTCTCATCAAGTCTTACTTTTCAAAAATCTGAGAAATCAAAACAGTAAGAAATGAACTCAATTAAGAGCTAAGCTTGGGTTGGAACAGTGTATAAAAAGAACTCTATAGATGAAACTGCTACGACGCTTCGGGAAGTGTAGTCCCTCCGCCTGGCAAAATAACAAAATCGATGCTTTTATTTCCTTGTTTATCGGACATCGAAGCCTATTTTCTGATATTGACATCGATGTTTTTCTGATGACTTAATGAAACGGAACACATCGCAAATGTGTTCCGTTTCACTAGGTACTTTATTAATGTATCATTTGTCTTAGAGTCGATTTTTCAATCAAAATCAATTCAACCAAATTAAAAATATAACGTAATTATATGTAATTGAAAACGACAGTATATATAAAATAGTTAAATTTAATTTTTGATATTATTTTAAATAGTTTAATTTAATTTAATATAAATTAGTTAAATTTTATGCTTTTATATTCAGTTCAGGTTATAACATATTTCATGGATAACCCTTAACTGAGAATTGAAAAATCAGCCCTTAGACATTTTTTTTTAATATAATATTGATATTCGTGAAATGAAACTGTTAATTACGTAGTAACATTATTTAATCTGTGCTTTTGTCGTTTAAAATTTGTCATTGCATTTATTTAGATTATTTGGAAGGTACAGTTGATTAAATAATTTTTTGTGATTTAAAAGAAAGTTATATCTCAATTAACCTTTCCGAACTTTTAATATTTCGATACTGAGCCAAACTAATTAAAGTATAACTTCATAACATATTCGTATCATACCGAAATATTAAAGTTACTCAAAGTAATACGTAGATGGACAAACTCGGACAAACATTCCTAATATTATAAAAGGTGTAAGACATTCCACTCAAACTAACAACTTCAGATTACTTCCCAAAGACAATTGAATTTTTCTTTCTTTGGCTTCAGAACTTATTATTTTGTACATTTATGTTTAGATGTTACGTTATATTCGACCATAGCTCCGGTACTTACATTAAAAAAAATAGAATATTACAAATAACTTCTATGTCTTGTTCTTGTCCCTGAAAACAATTGTTGTCTAATTAAAGGCAAAATATAAACGTTTTTCACATTAAATATTCTTAATTCATTGTAATAGATTTTTAATATCAGTTATTAAAATTAAAATTATATTATTAAAACTATTACTCTAGTTGAAAACTGCTGGTTTTTTGTTGTGTTTTTGTAATTTATAATTAAATATAATTATTAATCAGCTACGTAATTTAAAGTAATTAAAGGTGTTCAAAAAGAGAACCCATAGTCCACGGTGGGGTTTATTTTGTTTTAAAAGAACTGGCATGGGGTTTTAGGGCGTTGGAACATGTAAGTAACATTTATTAGTATTGCACACGTAATACGTAGCCCGCGACAATGAGGTTCATGCGAGATAGCTTTATGACGCTACGCATTTTTAAAATTTTCAACATTTTTTAACTTAAAAGAAGAACTACTGTAAGATTTTGATGGCAAAAATTCAATATACTAACGTATAACTTATTTCTTCTTTTTACACCATAAGTTCAAAAGAATAATTGTCAAATCTAAATATTAAATGGTTTTTCGACACATTAATTCTCTTTCTGAACAGGCCCATAATTGAAATTAATTTTATCAGAACTAGTTAAATTATTAAGAAAATCTTTGTGTTGAAAAAAAATTCCTGATATAAGAAAATTGGATCAGAAATTATTTCTTCATTACGCTATTATGTTATTATAGAGTATTTACAATTACTGTACAGTATTAATATTCAAAACTTAATGTAAAATATATTTCATACATATATCTGTGTATAATGTTACCATATCAATTGTTTTTAAAATAGTCTGGAATTCAGATTTTTTTATCTAGTTGTCCCTTACGATGTATTCAAATAAACGACCAGCAACTAAATATCCAATATTTTATTTCAGTAATTCTTTTAAAATAAATTTTCATCTATAGATCACTGGTTAAGATCCGGCTCGAAGGACCAATAAATGTGGGGTGTAATTCCCACACCTAATGATATAGATAGAAAATTATGATATAAAGTTTTAATGATAGGATTGTTGTATTGAGTATTGAGTTGACATTTTGACTACGGTTAACTGTGTGGGGACAAATGGCTGCGGTGAGCTTGATTGCGTGGTAAGACACTGAGCTGCATCTACTTTCATTTTATTTCTTTACTTATTCTAAAACAGTTCTTGTCTACAATCCCACCTTGTGGTAAGCGGTCATAAAGTCTTAGATGGTATATCTACTAAAGTAAAGCGATATAAAGTGGATGGTTTGCTAACGGTAAGAGTTAAAGTTAAAGATCTAGGCGTTGGGAGTGCTCTGAGCAATTGTTCGGATTAAACCCAGCCGCCAAATTTCACGAACGCACATCGCGGCAGAACTCCCGATACCATCCACACCATCTGGATGATTGGCGGTCCACCACTGTGCGATTTAGAAGATGTTTTCTTCCTCGTACAACTTCCTTGTGGAATCGATTACCATCAGCGATTTTTCCGGACCAATACGACTTAGGGACCTTCAAGAAAAGAGCCTACTGCTTTTTAAAAGGCCGGCAACGCATCTGCAATTCCCCTGGTGTTGCAGTTGTTCATGGGCGACGGCAGTCACTTACCAACAGGTGAACCGCATGCTCATTTGCCCCCTCACCATTAAAAAAATAGGTATAGTAAAATGCTGGAATACGTGCAAAATAAATTTATTAGGTACCTATATATACGCTATTATGGAATCTACCCTATGTATACTTGTTACAATTAATGACCACATTTTTGTTATACATGTAAAGAACTACACCGTCACATTAGGTTTTTCCTGTCATGATAGTTGTTAGTTTAAATAAATGAATAAATGTCTATGGGCACAGTTCCAATTATATGTACCATCAAGTGGACTGGGTGCACACTATAAAATAAAATAAAAAAGATTTACCATCGGCGAAACCAGTACTGGCGGTGGCCATGAAATTTACCATGTAGTGGCAGCGTATGTGAATGAATCCACAACTCTATATCATACCGCCCGTAAAAGTTAGTAAGAGGCGACAGCAGAAAATGAAATAGAAGATGGGTAGCAGCATCTTTCAGATCACAACTTATAATAATAAAAAAAACTGCGCTTACCAAACCACCTGTTTAGCTTTACAACTACGGCAAATATCTCCTCTATGAAATAGTCTATGGGAGAGGCCTATTTTCAGCAGTAAA